TCGTGCTAACTCTTCCTCTTTCCCACCTCCTGCTCTTCTTGCTGGGACCATTTCCTGGGTTGTGAAACCCCTGTGGCCTTCTTGACTTGCTTCAGTGGGGAAGGCCTCCTGGGGAGGCCATCCTCCCAGCCAAGCTGCTACTCGCCTGCCGGCCCAGCCTGGCAGCTTCCGCCACACCCGGCCCCTGCCTGTTGCAACTTTGCCAGGGCCAGCCCTGCTCCCTCCTGCTGATCACTCCTCTTCCCTTCCACTTCCTGGGCTTCATGTGCCTCCTCCCGCCTTCATTCACCCTTCAAGGCCTTTGGGCTGGGCCTTCGCAGGTCTAAGCAGGGTCTGCATCTCTGGGAGGGCCTAGTCTGATACCACTGCCACCCAGTCTTGGCGGTGCCTTCCATGGGCAGGCAGTGGAGGCCGCCCGAAAGTTGGGCATGTGTGTGTGGAGAGCGTTGCATTAGAGGGGCATGTCTGCTCCTCAGGGGTGTGTTTAAGGGAGCGGACCTCTGACCCACCAGGGGGCCTCGGCGGATCTCTGCTCACCCTCAGCCTGCCGCCTCTTGCCTGCCTGACAGACTTTCTGAAGGACCCTCCCTCTACTTTCACAAACACTCCGAAAGCCTGGCCAAGGCCTTTCTTTTCAGGTCTCCCCTTTGCTCCTCTGTCCAGTGGGCATCACCCTGTTGCCTGTGAGGCAGAATCAAATGCTAGGGAAGCGCGGGGGTGGAGAGGACCAGGTGAGCTTTGCGGGCCAGGGAACCCTCGTTGTCCTCAGTTTCCCCATCTGTATGGGCCCGTCAGTCTCTGCAGGCCCATCTCTTGGACATATTTTGGCTTGCTGGGTTTTATTTTTCCCCTTTAACAAAATTGTTATCAACCAATTTCCACATGGTTGTAGAAAAATTAGAAAATGTACTCCTGTTCCTGGTGCTGCCGTCTCAGGCTATGTCCCCCTCTCGCCTCCTTTGCTGGAACACACTCATATGCACACATGTGGATGTGTAACCTGCACGCTTGTCCTCTTGTGTCCTGGGAGCTCCAACCAGTCTTTCCGGTCAGCTCGATGTCAGCCTTGCCCACCGCCCGGGACTGGCTGGGAGCAGGTTTCCACTGCCCCGAGGAGCTGCGTGCCTGCTCTGGCCTGGCCGAGCACCGTCTCGCCTCCCCTCTGGGCTGCTGATCAAGGGCCAGGTGGGGAGCAGGGCCAGTGAGCCTTTTTACCCTGGGACTGGAATCCAGGGTAACCAAGCCTTCCCCTTGATTTGAGAACTCAAGGCTGGCCCAAGCAGCTGGGACAGGAGGGAAGGCAGCAGCAGGTTAGGGGTCTGTACCTCCTTCGTTGTATAGAAGGGGGTGGTCCTCGAGGTCAGGCCTAGGACCAGCCTGCAGAGGGTTGAGTGGATAGACTCTGGTCAAGCCCAGGGTACCTGTCTCCTGGTGTCCTCACCTCTCTGTGTGTTTTCTCTGTCTGCATGAGTGTGTTGTGTGTGCTGCTCCTGGCACATTTCTCCACTTTCTTCGCCTTCATCTCTTCTTCCTGACATGGCACACTGGAAAGAATGTGGGCCACTTACTGGCTGTGTGATCATAGGCAAATCACTTAGCCTCTCTGAGCCTGTGGTTTTCACCATCTCTTGGACCTGCACAGGAATAGAGTATGCTAATGCTATTACAAGGCTAATCTAGTATGTTTTTGGTCTCAGAAAATGTTAATCCTTCTTTTAAGTGGGGGCTCTGAGATTCGCACCCAGACCTTTTGACTTCAAGTGCTGTGCTCTCTGCTGCATTGGGCTGCCTTTGCTGTGGCTGGAGAAGCAGCAGAGTAGAGACTAGGAGCCCAAGGCGGCTGGGAGAGGCCTGGCTGGCTTCTGCTGACTCCAAGGAGCTGGTCTCTACGGAACCCTGTGTGGGGCCCAGCCCCTGCCACCTCCATGGTTCTGCAGAACGGTGACGAGGCTGAGCCGGTGGCCTTCCTCTGGGGCCTGTGAGCCTGGGCCTATTTGCATGGGGCTATATATAGTTGGCACACCTTGCTTTTGTGCAGTTACTTTGCCCGCTGGCCTTCCCACAGTGTTCAGATGCTCTGTGAGGTAGGTGGGCAACTCTGCTCCACTGTGCAGCGTGGGACTCGGTGTGCAGGGAGGGACCCAGGACACTCAGAGTCACACAGTGATAGAAGAAGATCCTGGGGTCCGGGCAGTACACTTGGGGTAGAGGAGGTGGCAAAGCCTGGCAGGACCCATGCTCTAGTTTTAGTCCTAGGAAGTTGGGGCTAGGTGACCTAACCCTGGGGTTACTGCCGGAGAGCCGTGGGTTACTCCCTCCTTGTGGCACTGTGGCCTGGTGGTACAGGTTTGGGGCCAGGGCCCACTGTGGTTGTGGTTTTCCCCTGGTGGCTTCTAGCTAACTGTGAGCAGCAGCTGCTCTGAGTGTGGTGGCAGAAAGCTGGAGGCTCTGCCTAACCCTACTGGGGCTCCGACACCTCCTTCATGTGGTCCCCGTGGACAGCTCCTGCTGGGCCACCTGGAGGCAGGGGGAGTCATGGAGCCTGTGAGCCATCTGGACAGGCCCCAGGGGGAGGCCGTGGGGAGGAGGAGCTGCTTCAGGGTGAGCAGCTGTGTTCCTGGAGACTTGGTTGCCCTATCTGAGAAGTGGGCTCAGTTGCCAGGACGGGTGGGTGTGGAGTGGATGCGGTGGGGGATGTGAGTATGCTTTGTAAACTGAGACGGAAGGTGCGCAGGTGAGAAATGGGTGCTGCAAGCAAGAAGGGGTGATAACATTAAAGGGACCCCACCCCGAAGCCTGCGGGGTTGATGTTGGCTCTCATCCTACACAGGTTCTTATCATGACAGCCCTGCACCAAGGGACCATTCTTCATCTGGAAGAGGGGGGCTGACTGACACTCAGAGTGGCCAGTGCCCTGCATGGAGTCCCACAGCCAGGGCAACGTTGGTATTAGGAAGTTGCCACCAGGCAGCTTGACCATTGTTTTGCCACCAGGGGCTGCCCTTGTCCTTCTGTCCCCCAGGAGCAAGCCCCTGGCAGCACTACTGCTCCTTTGTCCCTGCCCACCTTCCCACTCAGTCTCATCCTCTGAGACATGCAGAAAGTCCGTCATGGCCCCACTGGGTCTTGAGGTTGTCTCATTAGGAAGCATGAGGCTGAGCCATGTCTGCTGGGCTCGGGCTCAGGGAATGTGGGTGCAGACGTATAGCAGGTGTATGCTCTGCAGGGTGGGGTCCTGCCGACCTTTCTGGGCTCCCAGGAACACTCACCTGGGGGCTCCTCGCATTGGACCCTGGGCAGGGCAAGGTGGCCAGAGAGGCACGATGTCCTTTTTGCCTGGCGGTTTGTGACACTCACCCAGACTCCTACCCCCACTCCCAGCCAGGCCCATGCAGCTCACTTCACTTCATTACCCGAGTGCCCGCCACGTGCCACTCTCTCCACGTCCTCGCAGGCACACACAGCTCACAGCTGTGCTGTCACAGCCACATGCCCCTCACACACTAACTCGTCCTCACGCAGGCTCTGGCCCAGGGAGGCGCAGCAGCAGACCACAGCTGGCTCTCCCTCCCCCCTACCGAGCAGTCGTGGTGGCTGGCCTGGCTGGGCTCAGATGCGAATTCACACACCCACTCTCACTCCCTCTGAGCAGGAGCCAGGCCCATTCAGGGGACATGATAGCGCTTGTCCCCCCACCCCTTGTCCCTCCCCTCTTCTCTGGCTGTTGGCCTTAGAGGACTGGCCAGGCCACTGGGCTGGGCTGCAGGCTGAGGTCAGTGTTTCCTGTGAGGTCATCTGGCTGGGAGCTCCCAGCACACGCAGCTGCTGCCCTGGCTGCCTTGTGGAGGAACCAAGGGAGCCGTCGTTGGGCAGGGTGTGCTGCATGCGTGCACATGCATGTGTAGTGTGTAGGCGGGATCAGTGTCTGAGTCCGCCACTCTGCCAGCCTATGTTCAGGATGGAGTACAAGTACATATGTATGTGCACATACCTGAGTATGTTCCTTCAGCCAGGGGTATGGAGCACCTCCTGTGTGGGGCCTAGACCCGAGCCAGTATCCAAGTAGGTGCATGAGTGTGCAACGTGGTCTCACACGTGAGCATCCTTGAATGACAGCCCACAAGACCCTCGGGGTCATCTCCTGTAGTGACTCTTGATTTGAGGAGCATGAGGAATGGGGAAACATGGGGCCAACCTGTGTGGTTTAAAAAGCAAAATCAGCATTACACTGAGCAGTAAAATAGTTTTATATTTGGAAAACAGTTTGAAAGTACAGGCAGACTTCTGGAAAGGCAAAAGGCTGGATCCCAGGCGCCTCAGGTTCAGAAAGGTCAGGCACCCGAATGTGGGCGGGGCCTTCCACTGCGCTGGCCTGTGAACGAGGCAGCGCTTCATCAGGGGAGTCCCCGCTTTAGGTTCAGTTTCCCCGTCTGGAAAGTGGGGGTGATCATGTTGGCCCTGCTTGTCTACCTGGGTATTTAGGAGCAAAACAATTCTGAAAACCAAGAAGGGCTGTGTGGAGAGGGGTGGGCACTGCCCTTCACATCTTGGCCAGTGCATGCTGGGTACCAGGCACATGGCAGTAGATGTGTTCAGCTGGGTATTAAGGAGGCATTGAATGACCTTGCGAATGAACACCTAGGGGGCCAGAGACTCAAGTGCCCCCACGGCCCAGGTAGGTTTTGGAGAGGCGTGGAAGGGGTCCCCTGCCTGGAGTGGACTGGCAGGGGTGCCTGACCGAGGGGGCTGTGCTAGCCAGCTCTTGCCTGATGTCCTTTCTTCTAGTTTTACCAGGGATGCCACAAATATCGACTTACATAAAACTTCTCAGTTTTAACATTGACAACTAGGACTGGTGCATTTTAAGCACCATGTGGGGCCAAACTCAACGCTGTGAGAGCCCTGGGAGGAACAGACATCTGACCACCTCCCAGGGCTGTTCCTGCTGGCCCTGCCTGCTGCCCGATCTCACCCCTTCTTTCCACACATCCCCACCGCAGGCCCCAACATGGCGCCATTCCTGCGTATCTCCTTCAACTCCTACGAGCTGGGCTCCCTGGAGGTCACGGATGAGGCAAGCCAGCCCTTCTGTGCTGTGAAGATGAAGGAGGCACTCAGCACAGGTAGGGCTGGAAGCTGGACCTGGAGAGGTGGCAGCCACCAGCGGGGCTGGGAGTCGGGCCAGTGAAAGGCAATGGCAGGGATCCTGCTCTTCCTCGTCGTCTGCTTGCCCAGCCGAGGTATGGATGCAGGACAGCTATGCTGCATGGAGCCCTCACTGGGGCTCGGAGCTCTGGCTCCTCCCCTGTTGGTTGTTTCACCCAACAGTTTTCATGTATTCGTCTGTGCCAGGCCCTGCGCTGGGCACGCAGGACATTGCAGTGCTCCAGGGCTGACATGGCTCTGCCCTTGTGGGACTACAGTCAGCTGGCAGAGCCAGGCGATGAGTCCTATGACGGGGAAACTGAGAGCAGACGCTGCCCCAGGCTGGAGTCGGCGCATCTTCCTGGAAGAGTTGAACATCTCAAGCCATTTCTTCTTGCTCCTCTGGTGAACCCTGGCTCACCCTTTAGGTCTTAGCTGAGCTGTCTCTTCTTCCAGGAAGCCTTCCCAATTCTTAGGCTGGGGCAGGCCCCCCTGACATGGGCAGGTCTAGAACCGCCGGCCTTACCCACTTCAGCTTCATTACAGCTGTGATTTAACATTTACTGGAGGCGTGAACTGGTCCACGGCTCTGCCTATGACAGGTTCTAGGAGGGCAGGCACCAGGTGTAACTTTTCTTTCTTTTTTTTATCCTCACCTGAGGACATTATTGCATTTATCTTCCAACAGAGGGAGAGAGAGAGGGAGGAACAGAGAGAGAGAGAAACATCGATGTGAGAGAGACACATCGACTGGCTGCCCTCCACACAACCCCAACTGGGGCCGGGGACAAACTACAACCGAGCTACGTGCCCTTAGTGGGAACCGAACCCCGGTCTCTCTGGTCCGCGAGCCAACAGTCTTAACCGCTGAGCCAAACCAGCCGGGGCATCCAGGTGTAACTTTTCTTCCTGCCGTGTTTCTTGCCTCCAATACAGTGGCTGGCATGTGGGTGCTCTCAGCACATGTTCGCTGAGTGAACGCACAGGGAAGGGGACAGCGGAGTGGGGCTGGAGGGAGAGGGTCACAGGAGGAGGGAGCAGCGGGAGCAGAGGCCTGGAGAGGGGACCTGGCAGGACGCCCAGGACGAGCTGCCAGCAGCTGGGTGTTCTGGAGTGCGTTGTGAGTGAGATGAGGCTGGTGAGGTGAGCAGAGCACAGGGGTGCAGGCTGAGCAGTGGAGACTCAGTCCTGAGGACACTGGGAAACCACAGCGGGCCCTCGGGGACAGAGCCAGGGGGCTGAAGGCTGTGGGAAATCTGGGAAGGGAGAGACAGAGGGGACCTCCCCTGATGTGGCCTGCTGGGCCCCCATTGCAGAGCGCGGGAAGACACTGGTGCAGAAGAAGCCCACCATGTACCCCGAGTGGAAGTCCACGTTCGATGCCCACATCTACGAGGGTCGTGTCATCCAGATCGTGCTGATGCGGGCAGCTGAGGACCCCATGTCGGAGGTGACGGTGGGCGTGTCAGTGCTGGCCGAGCGCTGCAAGAAGAACAACGGCAAGGCCGAGTTCTGGGTGAGGGCACGTGAGCGGCGGTCCTGTGTGCGTGAGCGTGCATGCGTGCACGGGAGTGATCGTGGCTGCTGGGTGCAGCGTCACAGCTGAGACGGCCGAGTTCGAATCCCAGCTCTGCAGCTGACTAAATCCCGGCTTCTCTGAGCCAATTTCCAAATCTGTAAAAAGGAGAAGCTGCTAAAAGACCCTACCTTGGTGTCAGTTGTTCAGATGAAATGAGCAGCTGAATGTAAAGGGATAATTGTAGAACTGGGCGCAGGGTGGGCGCTAAAGAGAGCCACCCTTGTTATTGCAACTACGTTTTTCCCTCTTAATTTTGTGAAGAGAGGATGTGCCCATAGTAAAACATATCAAACTCTATGTACAGGTGTGTGCCCGACCCTAATCCCAGGCGCCAGGTTCCCTTCTCAGGCACCCACTGTTCCCAGCTGTGTTCCGAAGCGAAGCAGATATTCCAGGCCCAGGCAGGCAATAGGGAACAGCAATTATGATCTTCAACAGCCAGGATGTGGGAGAATGGAAAGGCTGATGGCCGTCACTCACCTGCCAGACCAGGACTCTGCACATACATGTGGCCATGTATCCCTTGTGGCCGTAGGACGCCAGTGTTGGCAGAGCATCCTTGCCTTCAGGGTCACTTGTGGTCTCCTGCAGCCAAGATATCCCCACTGGAGAAAACCTGTGACCACCAGGGTCTCTGGTCAGCCTCCAGGGAGGGGTGAAGGGGTTGGGCCAAGAGAGAAGTTGACTCAGGGCTGTACTGACTGACCCTTGTCCAAGTCAAGCAGAGTCGCTTGCTGAGCTCTCCATCTACTACCCCAAAGGACAATGTCAGTCACCAGGCCTGGGTCCTCGGGTGGTGAGAGTCCTGCTCTTAGAACCAGCCAGTCTGTGAGGAGACGGACAGGCAGAAGCCCTGACAGACAGAGAACAGCACGGGTGTGAATGTCACGTGTTGTGCCTCTGCGTGTGCAGGGGGACACGGGGCCTTCATTCTGATATCCTTGTTAAGGTGGCAGTGGTGTTGAGGGTGGGGAGTTTCCCTTCCCACTCTGTTCCTGGGCCATGTGGCCAGACTGGGTGTGGGCTGGATCCTTTCACTTCCCCAAAGGTAATAATACCCCTGAGTGGGGGGGCTCAGGGGCGGGGCTCGGGTGGGGCAGTCCCTACCAACACCAGGCAGACAGGTGTCCTGCTAGGCTGCCAGGACACTCTTGGCCTGGGGGGACCAACCATGGGGGCGGGTTCTGAGTCTGGCTTGGCCCCAGGCCCGCCCTCAGTGACCCCCCACCCTCACCCCTGCAGCTGGACTTGCAACCCCAGGCCAAGGTGTTGATGTCTGTGCAGTATTTCCTGGAAGACGGAGGTAAGACCTGCCCTTTCTGGGTTGGGGACGTAGGTTCAGAGGCCAGAGCCAGGACAGAGTGTAGAGAGGCAGCCCCCATCAATGATCTATCCAGGGCCACCCCGGGAGGGCCTGCAGGGGTTGTCCCTCCTGTGGTTGCACTGACCTCATCACTCCATGGCCCCCAGATTGCAAGCAGTCTCTGCGGGGTGAAGACGAGGCCAAGTTTCCAACAATGAACCGCCGTGGAGCCATCAAACAGGCCAAAATCCACTACATCAAGAACCATGAGTTTATCGCCACCTTCTTTGGGCAGCCTACCTTCTGTTCCGTGTGCAGAGATTTTGTTTGGTGAGGGGTGGCTGTGCCTGCTGGGGGGCGGGGGAAGGGGGGTCACACCCAGTGCTTCCACCACTCACCCTTCCCGGGGATTTGCCTTTCAGGGGTCTCAACAAGCAAGGCTACAAATGCAGGCGTAAGTGTCTCCACAATCCGGTTGTGCCGACATGTGTCTGCATGTGTGCCTGGCAGTGCCTGGGTGTGTGCACAGGAGAGCTGTGTTCCTGTGTTGGGACTGCATGTCTGGATGAAGACTCTGTGCATGAGTGTGCGCGCGTGAGGTTTTCCATGTCGGTGCATATGTGTACGCTAGCCACGTCAGTGAGTGCTGGAGCTGGCTTGTTGCCGGTCAGGAAGCCAATTCTGCATCTCTCTTCCGAACTCTGTGCATTCTGTGACATCACATTGGTGGCCTGAAATAGGTCACAGTGGAGTATTTACAGAGAAATCAGCCAGTACTGCACATTAGGCCTCTTTCCTCCAGAGAGGCTGTCAGACCTTGCCCAGCACACCCCTGGCTGCATGTGTGCTTCTGTTAGATACGTGGGCATTGGGGTGCACACCTATGTGTACACCTTTCTCCGTGAGGATACACCAGGCAGTGTGGGCTGGCAGCTATGAGCACAAACTCTGGAGCCAGACTGCCTAGGTTTGAATCCTGGCTCTACCGCTTCCTAGCTACAGGGCCTTAGGCAAAGTTACCCAACCTCTCTTTCTCAGTTTTCTCATCTGTAAAATAGGATAATAGAGTCATTATGGAGATCAAGTAGGATAAAATATGTAAAGCTGTATTTTAAGTGTGGTTGGCACATGGTAAGCATTCTGTGTAAGGAGCCTTGTTGTTATCACGCATGCTGTGTGTCTTTGGGTTGGGTGCATCTGTCTGTGTGCATGTGCGGAGAGAGCTTCGGAGCTGTTTGCTGTGCTGGGGCATAGCAGAGAAGGGGGGCTCCCTTGCTTCCACTTCTATCACTGCAATACCCCCACACCCCTCACTTCTGCCCCCTCCCTGCCCACCAGGACTCCTGGAGCTTTTCCTAATCTCTGAGGTCCACCAGATTGGCCTGTCCTCCCTGCCCCATTCTTCCCAGGCCCCTCCTTCGAGGGCTGGCAGGAGGAGAGACAAATCAAGCTCTGGGCCCGAGGCCTCTGTGGGGTGAGGGTGTGGGTGGTTGGGAGAACAGTGGCTTTGTGTAGGGGCTGGACTGGGCCTGCTCACAGACTCTGCCCTTACCGGTGCCTTCCCATCCCCCTCCCGGGCCTGCGCCTTCCTCAAGAATGCAACGCTGCCATCCACAAGAAATGCATCGACAAGATCATCGGCCGGTGCACCGGCACCGCGGCCAATAGCCGGGACACCATAGTGAGGCTGGGTCCAGGGAAGAGCCCTGGGGATCTGGGGGGGCTTGGCCCGGTGGGAAGGAGTTGGGCTCTCCCTCCCCCTTTCCTGTGGGGCTCACCCTTCCTCCCGTTTTTCTTGTTCCTTCCTCAGACCTCCTCAGTGGAGCCCTGTTGGCATCTTGCCATGCATGGGGTTAGGGGAGAGCTAGGGGTTAAGGAAGGGGCTGGAGATGCCATGTGACCCTTGACCTGTGATCCCTCCACCACAGTTCCAGAAAGAACGGTTCCACATCGACATGCCGCACCGGTTCAAGGTGTACAACTACATGAGCCCCACCTTCTGTGACCACTGTGGCAGCCTGCTCTGGGGGCTGGTGAAGCAGGGATTAAAGTGTGAAGGTGCGTGCCACCCTGCGGCTCCGGGGTGGGCGGAGTGGTGGGGGAGGGGGTACTCCCCGCGGTGCCTGCCCACCAGGACCTCATAAACTCCACTGAACAGATGCTGCCTTTGCCCTCTCGCTGGGGGATTTCACATGGGGAGGCCTTGGTGACCCCTCCCCACTGGCCCTACCATTTACCTGCTGTGTGACCATCGGGGTCAGAGTAGAGTAAGACCCAGAGAGTCACTGCTGCACAAGAGCAGGTGCTCCCCAAATGTGCCTCATCCCCTCTCCACCCCGGCTTCACTGATAAAGGAGAAACAAGAGACCCCCTGCAAGAAAAGGGATTTGTCTAGGTTGTCCCACACATTCTTTGAAGGGTCAGAATTAGGTACCATATCTTCTGCTTTTTCTTTTTCTTCATTTATTTTAATTTTTATTTATTTTTTAATCCTCACATGAGGATATATTATTTTAAAGACAGAATTTTTTTTTTCTTTTCTTTATTGATTTAGAGAGAAGGAGAGGGAGGGAGAGCGAAACATCGATGAGAGAGAGCATTGATGGGCCGCCTCCTTGCATGCTCCCCACTGGGGATTTGACCCACAACCTGGGCATGTGTCCTGACTGGGAATTGAACCTGCGACTCATTGGTCCACGGGCTGGTGCTCTAATCACTGAGCAAAACCAGCCAGGGCTCTTTTCTTTAAACAGTGAAAGATTTGAAGTGCTCATAATGGCTTCAGATACATTTTTCCCTAAAGATAGGAAACCCAGCAGACCCCACCAAAGCCCTCCTTTCTGCTGTTTTCTCCTCCACCCCTTCCTGCCGTTGGCTGAGCCTGCTGGCTGCCCTGCCTGGACAGGGGCCCTGATGGGTCTGCTTCTCCCTCACCCCAGACTGTGGCATGAACGTGCACCATAAGTGCCAGAGGAAGGTGGCCAACCTCTGCGGCATCAACCAGAAGCTCTTGGCTGAGGCATTGAACCAAGTCACCCAGGTAGGCAGAGCCATGGGAACCCAGGACAGAGGGTAGTGGGGTTGGCAGTCAGGGCTCACACCCACTCCTGGGGAACCACAGTGGGGGGCTTTATACCAAGCCCCTACTTCTGGAAGATCCAGTTGAAGAACTAGGCAGTGGAGGGCGGTGGGCTTATCCCATTAGAAGTTAGTTATTCCAGCAGTTCTGTACTTGCAGGTGTACCTGGGGATGGCGCAAGGTCGAAACGTTTGGAACTAAAAGCCTTTGCGTGTGTATGTTATTTGTTTGTGTTGGGTGTGGTGGGGCTCAAGGGATGCCACAAAATGTTAAGGTAAAATTCTAGAATCAGTCACAAGTGAAGGCAACACAAAAATCTGTCCAGTAACTGTTTGGGAAAGTGGTGTCCAATTTACAACTTTTGTTTGTAATTACTGCTTTCTAGACCACCCAGGCATCCCTGTGCCGCTGGACGTGTGCACGCACCTGTGTGTGTGTGTGTGTGTGTGTGTGTGTACGCGTGTGCTGCTTGGTGGTCTCGGGCCTTGCCCCCGCTGTCTCCCATTGGGGACCATGGTATGACCAACGATCTGGCCCCCCCAACCACCACTCTCTTCTCTAGAAACCCTCCCGGAAGTCAGAGATGGAGACTACAGAGACTGTTGGGATCTACCAGCATTTTGAGAAGAAGCCAGGAGTCTCTGGAGATGATGCCCTAGGTAAAGCTGGGCCCGTTTCCTCTAGGAAACCCCCTACTTCCCACAGGGCCCAGGATCTGGCCTGGCCTCCCTCCATTGTCAAGTGAGAGCTGAGAGGAGGCGCCACCGTGGGGAAGGAGGCCCTTCCTCTCTGAGGCTCCTTACCCCAGCCACCCCGGGCTCCACGGGACTCTGCAGATGGAGACCCGTCTGAGGTGCCGTCTCTCCAGCAGACACTGGGACCTACGGCAAGATCTGGGAGGGCAGCTCCAGGTGCAACATCGAGAACTTCACCTTCCATAAGGTCCTGGGCAAAGGCAGCTTCGGGAAGGTGAGGGGCCGCATTGCCCGGAGGCAGCCCCAAGACCTGGTGGGGATGTGGAGCCCTGGCCTCTGGCCGGGCCTCTCCCGCTCAGCATCCCCACTCATCCACCAGGTACTGCTTGCAGAGCTGAAAGGCAAAAAGGAGTTCTTTGCTATCAAGGCCCTCAAGAAGGACGTGGTTCTGATCGATGACGATGTGGAGTGCACCATGGTGGAGAAGCGGGTGCTGGCGCTCGCCTGGGAGAATCCCTTCCTCACGCACCTCTACTGCACCTTCCAGACCAAGGTGTTCGACCTCCCCACTGCCGTTGCCCAGGAGCTGCGGCTCCCCTCAGCCTCCACTCTAGCCCACGTCTCCCACACAGACCACTGAAGGCAGGGCTGTGTCCCCTCCTCATGCCCCCCAGGGCAGTGTTGTCCCCTGCTTCAGTGGCCCTCCCGTTTCTGTGCCCCAGGATCACCTGTTCTTTGTGATGGAGTTCCTCACTGGCGGGGACCTGATGTACCACATCCAGGACAAAGGCCGCTTCGAGCTATACCGTGCCATGTGCGTGAGGCCCTGTCGGGGGAGAGCCCACGGCCAGGGTGCCCTCCGTTCACTTTCCCTCTTTCTGGAGAAGCCACCCTGGGCTAGAGCTGGGGCTGGAGAGAGTAGGGTAGCGGGAAAACGCCCCCACTGTGTGGGGAACCTGGGCGGTGGGTGAGCTCTGGCTGGGTGCACAGCACAGACATGCTGGGTCCTGTCCCTGCCTCGGACCTCAGCCAGGGCAGCCTCACACATGGTGGTCCTGAACAGCACAGGACCCTGGTGTGTGACCCCAGACCAGCACCCCCAAAACTGTGCGTGCACATGTACATGCATATGAATGTCAACATAAATGCATGTACTCTTATGACCGAAAATGGTCTTATTTGGAGCTTTTCCTTCATAATTTCCTTTTCTGCCTTGGCTGCTGGCCACCTCAGCCCAGGTTGTCCATCAAGTTATTGGCAGCATTTCCTGCCCCTGGAGGTGGGGATGGGGGACCAGGGAGAAGCAAGGACTAGTCAGCAGAAATTCCAGAACACTTCGTCTCTCTCTCACATCCAGGTTTTATGCTGCTGAGATAGTATGTGGATTACAGTTTCTACACAGCAAAGGGATCATTTACAGGTACGGGGTGGTGAGTTGGGGTTTGGGGGAGCTTTCAGGAAGGGAAGCCCCAACCCCACCCTATCCTCTGAAATGCTCTGAGTGGAGCTCGGCCCAGCTATGGCCCCATGTCCGCCTGGAATCAATGTTTAGTTGGGTATTTGCCTAAACCTCCTACCCCATTGCTAGAATTCCTGGTGGCCCCTCAGCTGAGGCTGGCATAGCTCCAGGGACTGGGAACTCACTGCCCACCCCATCCCCCGTGCGCTGGCGGGGGCGTGGCACTGGCTGCTGCTGTGCCTCCTTCCTCAGCACAGTCACTCACTCTGCAGCCCCACCTGAGCACCCTCAGCTTCCACCAATAGGAACCAGTTCTATAAATTCCCACCCAGTAAATGACGGTCCCATCCGACAGTAGATTACTGTGCCCTCATCAAAGAGCCTGAGGCCATGCTCTGTGTCCTGATGTGGGATGATCCCAGGATAGGTTGTCAAGTGGAAAATCAACCCTGGGACAGTGTCTACTGAATATTTCAAAAGGAGAGGTGAGGTGCATATTGCAATGTGTTGTGCCCTTACCTAGAGTCACTCTGGGAGGGTCTGGCCATCGAGCTCCGTGGAAGGTAGACTGTACATGCTGTTTGCCCCTTTCTAGTACTTATATGACCATGTGCATAAAATAACTTCTCAAACAACTAACTATATAAAAACAGACATGGTCCCTGCCCAGCTGGGACCAGCTAGGTGACCCTGGGCAACGGACATCAGCTGTCTGAGCCTCATTTTGGGCTCGGGAAGGTAGGGCGGCATGTGTCCAGCATGTAACACACCACACTTGCAAGAAGCCCTGTTTTGGCGCCTCTCTCCCTTCTGCTGCCTTTTCTCTTCCTCCTCCCCGTGTCCCCTGGGAAGAGCTCTCGGCGTACGGGCTGAGAATGGTGCTGGGAGACAGGAGTGGAACCAGCTCCTGACGACCCTTCTCCTGTCCTTTCCCCTCAGGGATCTCAAGCTGGACAATGTGATGCTGGACCGGAATGGCCACATCAAGATTGCTGACTTCGGGATGTGCAAAGAAAACATATTTGGGGAGAAGCAGGCCAGCACCTTCTGCGGTACCCCTGACTATATCGCCCCTGAGGTGAGCTGGCATCCACCCAGCCTCCAGCCTCCAACCCAGTCAGACACCTTGTCTCAACAGGGTGGAGCCAGGAAGGCTTCCCTGAGACAGTGATGTCTGCGCCAAGCCCGGAGGGTGAGGAGGCCTGGCCAGGGCTTGTGCTCTGGGGCCCCGCTCAGCTCCAGCACCTTCTCCTGCCCAGATCCTGCAGGGCCTGAAGTACTCATTCTCTGTGGACTGGTGGTCCTTCGGAGTCCTTCTCTATGAGATGCTCATTGGTCAGTCCCCCTTCCACGGTGATGATGAGGACGAGCTCTTCGAGTCCATCCGTGTGGACACACCACATTATCCCCGCTGGATCACCAAGGAATCCAAGGATATCCTGGAGAAGGTGGGGGGCCCTGGGTTAGGCTGCTGGGGGCAGGAAGCGGTAAACGTGGGGTTGCGGGAATGCCAGGAGCCTCACTGAAGCTCCAGTCCTAATGTGTTGGGGTATTGCTCTCTTGCCACGTTCGAGGGAGCTCCTGTCTGAGTACCCTGCACTGAATCGGCCTGGCATGGTGATTGTGAGCCTAGGTCAGGAGACAGACAGACCTGAGGCTAAATGCTGAGTCTGTCTCCTTATTTGCAAAATGGAGCTAGAACCCGAGTCGTTGGGAAGAAAACATAAATGTATAATGCTCAGGTCTGTGCCAGGCAGATAGCAAACACTCAATAAGCAGCCGCTGCTTTTACTCAAGAGTCCCGCAGCCCCCATCTATGACCTGTTGTCTCTGGGGGACCTGGGAGCACAGTGGGCCAGAGACGATCCCCTCAGTCCCAGCGGCCCTGGGCTGCCCCAGTGGGCTGAGCCAGGCCTGCCTGGGTGCCCTGGGTCTGTTTGGGTGTTTGCTGAGGTTCCAATTTCCTGCAGCCCTTGGGTGCTAACCAGGGCCCCTGCTGGGTTGCAGCTACTTGAAAGGGACCCAACCAAGAGGCTGGGAGTGACTGGGAACATCAAAATCCACCCCTTCTTCAAGACCATCAACTGGACTCTGCTGGAGAAGCGTCAGGTGGAGCCGCCCTTCAAACCCAAAGTGGTATGTGATCCAGCTTCACTAGGGGCCACGACGCTGCCTTCGGGGTGGGCACCTCCTTCTTTGCCCTGCCTCTCTCCCACATCATTACATGCTTTCTCCTCTGCCTTTTCCCTGACCTTCCTGGTACGTTCAGTGTCACCCTCTCTCTCCTCACTCAGTCATTCAACAAACACGGGGAACTGTGGATCCAACCATCCCTTAGCCTACAGTTTTTTAGTGCCCACTGTCTGCGGCGGGCTGTGCTTTGGGAATCAGAGTTAAGGCCTCACTCCCCCTCTCCGCCCATCCAATCCATTTTCCAATACTGGAAGTGCCTGTTGGGCGCAGAGCACGGTGATGAGCTGCTCAGCACAGTGGGAGGCCCAGGCCCAGAGCTGGAGGAGCCCCAGCTCGACAGAGAAAAGAAACTTTAACAGATGATCATTCGTGATACACCACCACAGTGTGCGAGCTGTCACAAGGCCGCATGATCAGTAGTTATCAGGTCGGTCTGTCAGCAGGAGCACGGAATGCATAGAACGGGGTGCATCTGAGAGGAAGTGGGCCATGGGCAGGGCTGGGGGCGGCTGGGAGGTGTTCCAGGTAGAGAAGGGATGGTTCCTGAAGGCTCGGAATTCACAGAGGCACCAAGGAGCCAGCAGGAGAGCAGAGACAGGATGGGGCCAGGATTCCAAGCACCCCAAACACCTCAGAAGGGCCACTCCATGGCCCTTCTCTGATCCCCGTTCCTCCTTTCCACTCCTTTTCTCTCCTTGGCTTCCCCCCCTCCATCAGGACACGAAGTCCCACTGGGCAGCCTGTGTGATGTGCTGGGCCCCACCACCGCTCCTGGAGGTCACAGAGCACTTCTGCTCCGGGCCCTCCGACTGCATGCCTCCTGGGCCAGGCCTGCCTCTCCCAGCCGGCCGGCTCAGGAAAATCAGACAGCCTGCTCCCAGTCTCACTTGTGAGAGAAAGAGGGATAGACTGAGTTCTCTGCACTGAGAAACACCAGGCTAGAGTGCTGACGGTGGGGGCCATGGGGAGTGGCACGGGGGGCTTCTGCGCCAGGAGAGGATGAGCCAGGAAATGGGCCCAAGGCGGCTCTGCTCTGCTTTTCTTTCTTTTTTTTTATCCTCACCCAAGGATATTTTTTCCATTTTTTTGTTCAGGTAGAGTGGGAAGGAGAGCGAGGAAGAGAGAGAGAGAGAAACATCGATGTGAAAGGGACACATCGAGTGGTTGCCACCCGCACGACCCAACCAGGGCCGGGGACAAACTGCAACCGAGGTACATGTCCTTAGCGGGAACCGAACCCGGGCCTCTCTGGACCGCAGGCCGACGCTCTAACCGCTGAGCCAAACCGCCACGACTCTGCTTGTTTTCAAAAGAAGCCAGAAATCTAGGTTTTTACTAAGGACAGCTCTGGCCTGGCCCAGCTCGAGGGATTCTGAGGTGTTTGAGAACCTTCGGAAGGCTGCCCCTGCGTCCCGCTCATCCACCTCTTCCTTGTGCCCACAGAAGTCCTCCGGAGACTACAGCAACTTCGACCAGGAGTTCCTGAATGAGAAGGCGCGGCTGTCCTACAGCGACAAGAACCTCATCGACTCCATGGACCAGACAGCATTCACTGGCTTCTCCTTCGTGAATCCCAAATTCGAGAGGCTCTTGGAAAAGTGAGGTTCCCAAACATGCCCCTCAACCCATCCCAGCCAAGGAGCCTGGATCATTCAGCACGGTCTGCCTACCCAGCCTGACAGAGCAGGCTTGGCCCCCCTGCATCAGCATCTGCCCACCCCCCACGATCAGCAACAGTGTGACTGTCGTGATTTCTGCTGCTGCCCGCCCCACTCACCCCCAGGAAGGGCCTTGGCTCCTGTCTGGCTGGGCTCTTAATGGTACTTCCTCTGTGAACTGAGTGTGAATTTGCTTTTCCTCTGTCCTCAGAGGGAAACTGTAAATCCTGTGTTTCATTACTTGAATGTAGTTATCTATTGAGAAAATGTATTATATATATGCATATATATATACATATATATGTATACACACACACACACACACACATATATATATAACAGGCTGTATATATTGCTCAGTAGAGAAAAAAACATGGGGGACTGGTAATGTGTTGATTTTTTAAAATATATATGACAAGAAAAAAAAAAGGAGCACAAGCTGTTTGAACCACCAGGTTCTTTTATTTGTGTATCTAAATAAACAGCAAACGGTACCAACTTGGCTGTGGGGACATATTTGCCCCAGGAAGCTGGTGGCTGCTCCCGCTTTGGGCAGTTGTGTCCTGGACGCTGAGCTGATAGCCTCAGGCAAAGAACCCTGTGCCTTCATGCAAATATGTTTGTATTTATGGGTTTCCTCTGGCTCTAGGGCCCTGGGTTTTTCTGGGTGGCTTACGGAGTCTCAGATGACTACGGGGTGACGGGAGGAGGTGGTTCCAGCTGCAGACAGTGTCTCAGGAGAGTTGAGGAGCCAGTCTGGAGAAGCAGAGAGGTGAAGACCTGGCTGGAAGGCATGAGTGAAGGCCTAGAGGCTGGGCCAGACTGGAAAGGTCAGAGAAGAGAAAGTTAGTACAGCTCAGGCTTCAGGCAGATCTGGATTCAAACTGCAGAGTGCAAAAGACATGGGCATGTCACTTAACAATTTCAAGCCTCAGTTTCCTCATCTGTAAAATGGGGATGAGGCAAGGTGATGCTGGGTGGAACTGCCATCTCACTGCTATTTATCCTGTCCTTGCCACAGAGGAGTCTGTGTCTGAGTTCTAGAATCTACCTCGCAGGAGCCCTTTCTTACCTGGAGAAAGGGAGGGGAGCAGGGTAGGGAAAAAAAGGTGAGAAAATGCTAAGTGGCTGGGTCCAGTTTGAGAGCCACCTTCCAGTGCCCCCTGAGTCATGTAGATCTCCCTCCCACCACCTTAATGTCTCCCTCTCCTGCTTCCTATTTCTTCCTCTCCACTCCTCTCCCTTCTGCTCCCTCTCCCTGTCTCTGGGGCACAGGCCTTGAATCAGGGCACCCCCTCCAGTCCCTCTGGTCCAGCCCTCAGCCCTTTGTCCTTAGAGGTGGATGAGCACCCCCTCCCCCCAGCACCTGATTGGCTGGTCTCAGCAGCGAAGCAGCTGACTTGCAGCAAGTTCACTTTTCTGGGCTGAAGTACAAGTTTCCACAGCTGGAGAGAAGCAGAATGAGGTGGGGGCTGATGCTGGCCAGGGGAGGGGCTGGTGGGGATGAGGGAACTGAACTCTCCCCAGAGACCAAATGTCCCCCTCCCCTCTCGACCCACCATCCTCCCTGGAAACAATTGTTGAATCCCTGCTTGGTATAGAGCGGTGCAAACCTCAGGGGGGATAGACCGCATGGCATGGGCTATGCTGAGGGATGCTGGGCTGTGGGAGCTCAGAGGAGGTACCTGGAAAACCCTGTCCCCTTCCTGCACTGCACCACACACAGGCCCCAACCCTCCCTCACCCCACCCCCAACACACACACACACACACACACACACACACACACACACACACACACACGGGCTGTCCAGAGTATGGGGAGTGTTTGAATTCAGAGCCTCTCAAGACTCTCCTGGCAGCTCCAAGGCAGGGCTTTACACCCAGAGCCCGAGTTTCCTCCCGTGGAGAATGGGGGAACAAGTAATTTCATCAGCCAAAGATAGTGGCGGGTGGTGGGAAGAACATGGTGCTTGGAATCAGGAGCCTGGGGTTGGAGTTCCATTCTGTCACTCACTCTGCGGAACCTCCATCAGTTTCTTCATCGGACCTCAGTTTACTCATCTTTAAAACAGGATCATGAATCCCTGTTTCCTTACGGAGCACCCTGCTCTGGGGAGCCCCTTAAGTTATCCTACGATGCCTGGAAAAGCCCAGAAAAGGACAGAGGCTGGGCCTGAGGGGCCCACTTCAAGCAGCCTGGGATGGAGAAGCAGCTGTCAGAGACCCAGACACTGCCAGGGAGGCTGTAACTCCTGGCCTGTTCCCAGAGTTGGACAGGCGCCAAGCCCGACCAGCTGCCTCAGGAAATGCTTCTCATGGCTTGGCTCGGAACCACACTTTCACTGGGGTCTGAGGGTCCGGGGAAGGCAGGTTTGCCCCACCCCACCTGCCAGGTAGGTGCATGACAGAGCAGTGAGCTTGGCCCCACCGCAGGGTTGCTGGGAGCAACACACTCCATCTGAAATGTGTGCCAGGCCTGTGTGCTGGGCAGAGTAACGCAGACATGTCCACTGTGCCAGGTTCTAACCAGCAGGCCTCGGAACCCAATGCCCAGGTTGCCCAGATCTAATAAAATGGTCATCTCTATAGGAGACCCAGGCATCAGTATTTTTAAAGCTCCCCAGAGGGTCCAACCTGCACCCAGAGATCTGGGAATCTGCATTTTGCCCAGTCATCCAGGTAAAGCCAACAAAATTCTGCTAAGCAGGCCACAGCCTGGAAGGCGAAATCACCACCCGGGCCCCGTGTTCGGCACGATTCGACCGCGGAGGCTCCCTGCGCCAGTCAAGATTGCTGAGGGAGAGAGAAGCCACCGCCTGGGCCGGGCTACAGCGCCCTCTGGTGGTCGGCGGGCGCAGACCCGGGAGGACTCGCTTTGCACAGGTACAGCGCTGGGTTCTTAACCTATCGCCTGTCATTAGTCCCTGGGGAAATGTTCCTGCAAGAATGGCTGGAGGACCATTTTGGAGACACTCAGAGACACAAAGGTTACACATCCAGACAGATCCCCTAACATTTAAGAGGCTCTCTGGGCTAGCCCATATCTCAACTCCATTCTCTGGCATTCACCCAACATTACAGTCACATTTCCTCAATCTATTCTTTCTTAAAGTGGGAATAACTGATATAAGCTGGGAGGTCCCTGTTTTCTGCTGGGAATAGTAGGAAATACTGGGGTGTGCAGCATTTGCCAGCGTGGGAGGAGCTCATGGGCTTCAGGAGTCCCACTGATGCCCTTGGATCATTCCAGCAGGCTGGGAGTTTGTACCTCTGCAGCCCACCATGCACCTGCCTCCTCCTCCTCCTCGGCCCCCTCCTGTATCCTGACGGTACCCAGCAGATGACCTTAGACTGTCCCGTGTGAGACTATGAGGCTGCAGGGCTGGGTTTTGTTCCTCTGAGTCCTGACCACCCTCCCAAGCACCACATCTCCTTGGGGCTGGGGAGGGGGGAGGTACACACAGTTGAAAACATGGAACCTGGTAACAAAGGGGAAGAGGGCAAAGAAAGGTCCCCTAACGTGTGAGCCAGGCCTGAGTCCGTGTGGACAGGTTAGGCCCCCCATGAGTTCGGGGCCCTGGGGCCACTCCCTGCTCTTTCACAGGATTGAGTTCAGCTCTCACTAGCTATAGCCTCAGCGAGTTAAGTCTTTGGAAATTTAATATCAGCCCCCAAATCAGGCTTCTTCAGTGGCCTTGGAATACCCCCAGCCTCTCTTTTCCTGCTGTGAAGTACGTATGTACTCTGAAGGCCCTCATAGTTGCTGCTCAGCAGGTGTTTTTCTTCCGAGAGGGGAGTTAAGCTTTCTATTGATTTCACCTGTGGTGATAGACACGCACTGTGGGTGGGGGCAGTGTTGGGCTCTCTTCCCAAATTCGTGCATTCCTTCTTGGCACAAGTGCCTGCTCTGTGCCAGCAGCTCAATGGGCATCACTTGGAGCTGTCACTCAACAGAATGATCTAGCACTCACTGTGTGCAGCTCAAGAGCTCATGACAATGGCACTCTGGGTCCAGCACTGTGCTTGATGCTTTCTCTGCGTTGACAGCAATTAATCCTCACAACAACCCTGAGGAAATGACTTTGGTTTCCCCATTTGACAAATCAGCAAACAGAGGCCCTGAGAAATTAAGGAATCTGTTCAGTAGCTCTGGGTTGGGGAGATGAGCACAGTCTCCTGGACCTGCTCAGGAGCTATCAGGGAGAACACAGTCTCTTATCCTGGCCCTCAGAGGCAGCAGGAAGAAGGAAGGTGAGCCTGGTGGCAGGCAGGGACAGTGGAGGGTAGCCAGGATGGGGAGAAGGCAGGCTGACTTGGAGCTAGAAGGACCCTTGGAGATCATGGATCTTCAGTGGGAAACTCCATGGATCCATAGTGGAAAACTGAGGCTAGAGATGGGAAGGGGCTAGGCCAGGGTAGCACAGGAAGACGCTCACAGGGAGCAGCCAGGTGTGTTCCCAACCTTCTTTCTCCTACAGGGCAGAAGCCTGGCTCCTCCTTTCTGCCCACTGCAGACTCATACTGAGCCTGGCACACTGTGGGCGGTTGCTAAGTGGTGATGCATGAGCACAGGTGAGTGAGTGAACTGGAAATGTCCACTGAGCCCTTTCTACACTCCCAGCTCAGTCCCACCCCTCACTCTGCTCCCCTCCCCCTGCTCTGGTATGGGGAGGGGGCAAGGGCAAGGGTCAGGAGAGGTGGCTGCCAGTCTTGGGGCATTAACAGCAGCAGGTAACCAAAGCCCAGGGACCTCAGGAGTCAATGCCCACCAGCTGGTGGGTGGTGGAGACTCACTGACCCAGCTGAGGGTTGGGACCTTGTTCAAGAGCAAGGCAGCAGCGACTGGCCACAGTCCATTAGAAACCTGCCATCAGTAGTATTGGCAAGGCTTCTCTGAGCCACTTCCTGGGTTTTAAATCATGAGTTCAGAAACAATTAAGCCATGAGACGCACTTTGTATCAATAACAAGTTAAAAATAACACACATCACAAAATACTTGCATTGAATTAAAAATAGATCTTGTTAGCCGAATTATTCTTGAATGTCCTGTTTGGAAACAAGGTATGGTTAAAAAAAAGACAGTCTTTAAACCCTGGCTCAGGTTTGCTATAGCTGGATATCAAATGCCCCTGTTTATACTGGACTCATACCCAGCCTACTATGTGCCAGGAGGTGACAGTGCTCATGGCCAAACCTAGGATGCAGGCTTGGAGACGGATCTGAGTCTGCAGCTGCCCGCTCCACCCCCAGCTGCTACTTGGCCTCTCTAGCCTCTGTTTCCTCATCTGTAGCTTGTGCATAATAGTACCAGCTTTGTAGGGTTGTTAGGAGGCCGATGCACGAAAAACAGTTGGTGTGGTCCTGCACAGAGTAAGTACTCAAGAAATCTTTTTTTTTTTTTTTTTTTTACTCAGATAGAGCGGGAAGGAGAGAGAGGAAGAGAGAGAAACATCGATGTGAAAGGGACACATCGAGTGGCCG